CTATTACTAACCCATGAGACCAAACAAACTGTGAGTGTTGAAGGAGAGGGGCTGCTTTTGGTCCTGGCCGCCCAGCTAGCTTACACCCAAAATAATCACACAGAAACTGTATTCATTTAAACACTGCCTGACCCATTATCTCTAGCCTCTTATTGGCTAACTCTCACATCTTGATTTAACCCATTTCTGTTAATCTGTGTATCACCATGAGGTCGTGGCTTACCGGGAAAGATTCAGCATGTCTGATTCTGGCAGCTCCATGGAGGTTCTCTGACTCTGCTTTCTTCCTCCCAGAATTTAGTTCTATCTTCTCTACCTACCTAAGTTCTGCCCTATCAGGCCAAGCAGTTTCTTTATTGATTAACCAGTGAAAGCAACACATAAACAGTAGGACCTCCTACACTATTTCCCCTTTTCTGTTTAAAAAGGAAAGGAAGGCTTTAACTTTAACATAGTAAAATTACATATAAAACAGCTAATTAATTCAAGCAAGAATTAGTTACAATATTTATATCTATTTTATCTTTTATCATAACAAAGGAAAACTATAACTATCTATTCTTCAACTCCATCAAAGACTCCAGAAGGATATAATATTACCTAAGTAAATGAGAAGTAAGCAACTTACAAAACTCTAGAAATGACAAAGACATCTCGCTGCCTGTACAGTCACCCAAAGTTCTTCTCTACTATTGGGGCATCCATCTTCAGCCTACAGGCCAATAGTATCCAGCAGACTTTTCCATGAAGCAGGAAATTTCAAAGACAGTTCAGTCACTTTCTTCTGTATCCTGCAGAATGTCTCACAGACTCTTTCATGAAGCAGGAACCCCGAAGGATCATCTCACCTTTAGGCAAGTTCAGCAGTCATCTCTCTGTGGGTACTGCATGTCCAGTGAACCAGTCCAGGCAAGAGCAGTTTCTTGCCCAAATGGCTAGTAAACTCCATAAGGAGTCTCTTCAATGCCCATTTTCCTCTTGAAGTAGCTGGTGCTGCCAGGAGCAGATGTGTCTCATTGTCATGAAAAGTCCTAAGTTATTAAAACATTTTAAATGCCACATTCTGTAGTCTTTGAAAGATATGAAGAATGCCTGCCTATCTAACTGAAATATATCGCTATATATCTAGAAAATCTAACTAACATAACTACAAGCTTGACTATTATCAATGATTATCCATTAACAACCTATATTTCCTAATTATACATTACATTTTTAAATGAACTACACAATCACAATACCGTAATCAAGAGCAGAAATATACATATAGCAAGATTGACCTTAAATTTATATCAATAAAGCAAAATCCATGCCAATGCAAATTATTCATATCTATATCATATGGGGGCTAGCAAGATGGTTTAGCTGATAAAGGTGCTTGCTACCAAAACTGACCATTTTCTGATTACTAAATAATATAAGTAGGCCATCCCCAGGCAGGTGCACCCGGGCTGTATAACAAAAGTAGGCAAACTTAGCTTGGGAGAAAGCCAGCATTTCTCCATAAAGCGCCTGCCTGGCTTCCCTCACAGATGGACTGTGAATTGGAAGTTTAAGCCAAATAAACCCTTCACTGCCTTTTTGGTTGCTATGGTCATGGTGTTTTATCACAGCAGCCAGAGCACCTTGCCCATCTCATCTCAGGCTATTCTGTCCTCTGATGTGTAACTGCCTCACTACACTCCAGCCACAATGGACTCTTTGTTATTGATTCTAAATCTAATTTATTCCTGAGGCCTTTCCTTGATTTTCTGCCCTAGAACACTTCATACCTGAAGCTTCCAATTTCAAAGAGAACAAACAGAAAGAGCCATAGGAAAGGCAAAACACAAACTTCCTAAAGAGGATCAGAAGCCCAAAGGCTGAGGAGATTAACTTTCTCTACTCAGTAATCTAAAATGAAGAGGCTCAGCCTCAGGCCAAAGTTAAAAGACTATTTTGACTATGAGGCAGCTTCCAGAAGGAACTAAGCATGCTGTATCTAGGTTCAATGATAGAATTTCAATATCTTAGCAGAGCAGGTAGGTGGTGGTGCAAGCCTTTAGTCCCAGGCAGAGAGGAAGGCAGATCTCTCAGTTCAAGGCCAGTCTGGTCTACTGAGCAAGTACCAGGACAGTCAAGGCCATAGTAAAGCCATGTACAACAGAAAACAGCTATAATCCAGTCCCTCAAGAAGCTGAAGCAGGAGGATATCAAGTTTGAGGGCAGACTGAAATTCATAGAGACCTTGCCTCAAAAGGAAGAGAGGGAAGAGTATAGAGTAGAGGAGAGAAGAGGAGAGGGAGGGAGGGAGGGAGGGAGGGAGGGAGGGAGGGAGGGAGGGAGGGAGGGAGGGAGGGAGGGAGGGAGGGAGGGGGAGAAGGAGGAAGGGAGGGAGGGAGGGAGGGAAGGAAGGAAGAAGGGAGGGAAGGGGGGGAGGGAGGGAGGGAGGGAGGGAGGGAGGGAAGGAGGGAGGGAGGGAGGGAAGGAGGGAGAGAGGGAGAGAGGGAGGGAAGGAGGGAGAGAAGGAAGGAAGAAGGGAGGGAAGGAGGGAAGGAAGGAGGGAAGGAGGGAGGGGAGAACCTTGCAATATACCATGAAGCTAGTAGGGAAAACAATGTGTGTATATGCATGGCACTATTAGCAGCATCTGAAGTCCATCCATCTAAACTTGACAGGATTTCTAAGGATAATTAAAAATATCAGGAACGCAGATGATGAAAATCAGAAAATGATGCAGATAACTAGGGATTCTAAGGTTAAATTGGAGCAAAAGATTTGGACTGTATAAAGAAGGGAAAATGGATTCTGAACCATACAGCAGGAATTAGGACAGATGAGAATTAGGTTGGGAAAATGTAACTGGTGCAGAAAGAGGATTCATGATCCTAGAATCTGAATGACAGAGCACACTTCCCTAGACACCTTCAAAACCTAGTGAAGGTTGAATGTACCATTCAGTTTCATGAAGTAGTGAATTAGTAATCACCAAAAGCTCTTCCTCCATGGGTGTTACAGGCCACAAAAGGCCAGAAATAATTGAGAAGGCCTAGGACTGGCTAGATAACCTAACCTTAGACAACAATTTGTGGAAGGCTAGAAAAGATGAGTCAGTGCTTGCTTATCAAGCATGAGGAGTTGAATTTGAAGCCCAGGACCACACCTGGCAATATTCACCTGTAATCTCAGGGTAGGGGAGGCAGAGACAGTAGGATCCTAGGGCTTATGGGCCAGTTTGTCTGGCTCAATCAATGAGAGATCTGTCTCAGAAAGATGGTGGAGAGAACTAAAGATACCCAATGTCAACTTCTAGCTTCCATGTGCACACACGAGTACACACAAACACACACATACAGATGTACACGCACATTGAAAAAGTTTCACCAGCTGTTGTGGTGCTACACACCTTTAATTCCATTCAGGAGGCGAGCCTGGTCTACAGAGTGAGTTCTAGAACTGCAAAGGTTATATATCTTAAAGAATGAATAAAAAAGTCCTGTTATTCCATGTACTTGGGAGAATTTAAGTTTAAGGTCTGCCTGGGCTATAGACCAAGTACTGTGCGAGCCTAGCAACTTAATGAGACCTTGTCTGGAAACATAAAATACAGAAAATGGTAGGAATAATATAGCTCAGTGATTGAGTACTTTCTACCAGGCACAATTGGGTTCAATTTTCAGTGCCACAAAAGAAAAGGAAAGAAAAGTTTCTATGCTATTTCAAAAATTAGATGTTAGCTTGGTGCACCTGAGGATTGCCAGTTTGAGGCCAGCCTGAGCTAAAAAGTAAGACTGTAAGAGAGAGAGAGAGAGAGAGAGAGAGAGAGAGAGAGAGAGAGAGAGAGAGAGAGAGAGAGAGAGAGAAAAGAGTCAAAGGAAGCAGGGAACTAGGGAACTTAACAACAGGAGGAATCTAGAGGGAGCCTATCAGCTTTGGAGATGAAGTCATCTTTTAATTGAAGCAATTTACAGTTGCAAGTGACCAGTGCTGCAGATGATCAACCTTCTGGGGATGTCAATCTATTCTGAGAATCTCTATCCTGACAATTTCCTTCATGTACGAACATGCAAGTAGAATTTTAATTGTGGTTTCAGGTCATCAGTGGTTATCACTATACCTAAGAGTTCACACTTCAGGTTGCAGACTCATACAAGAACTCTACCATGACTCCTCCATCACTTGGGCAAGTATCTAAAATCTCGGGATTTGAGTCTACCTTTCTGTCAAGATGGGCAGTGATAGCACACACCTTTAATCCCAGCACTTGGGAGCCAGAGGCAGGTGGATCTCTGTGATTTCGAGGCCAGCCTGGTCTACATAGTAAGTTCTGGGACAGCCAAGGCTACACAGAGAAATCCTGCCTCAAAAAACAAACAACAACAACAACAACAACAAAACCCAAAACAAATAAAAAAACAAAACAAACAAAAATGACAAACTAAATTCTCATCTTTCCACCATTAAATAAGGTTTTCTTTGAAGAAAAATCATCCATTTCCTGAGAATGAATACAGAAGTTCTGTGGCTGGGATCTTAGCCATGTCTTCTAGAACCAAGGCATAATAGCATATTCCTACAATCTCAGCACTTGGAAGACTGAGACAAGAAGATTACAGTAAATTCATGGTTAGCCTGGCTTACAGTGAGTTCCAGGCCAGCCTCAGCTATACAGAGCAAGATCCTGTTTCAATAGCTCCCACTCTCTCCCTGCCCAAAAAAAAAAAAAAAAGAAGAAGAAGAAAAAAAAAACCCAACCAACTAGAAATACCACATTCTCCCATTAAAAATGTCACAGAAGCCAGGCAGTGGTGGCACACGCCTTAATCCCAGCACTTGGGAGGCAGAGGCAGGTGGATCTCTGTGAGTTCAAGGCCATCCTCGTCTATAAGTGCTAGCTCCAGGACAGGCTCCAAAAAGCTACAGAGAAACCCTGTCTCGAAAAACCAAAAAAAAAAAAAAAAAAAAAAAAAAAAGTCACAGAAAAGGGTATGGTAGTCCTTGTTATCAATAGAGGTACTCACCATCCAGCAGGTCTTCCTCGTCATCCCTGTCATGCTCCTCCACTGCCACTTCCTCCTCCTCCTCCTCTTCCGCATCCTCCAGCTCCACGTCCGGGTCCAGGTCTGGATCGCTCCCTGAGGCAGATTCGTCTGACATGGCTCCCAGAAGTCCTCAGTGGGCATTACCGACTCATGGTTCACTGTAGGGGTCCTAAGAGGAGAACAAGAGGCATCAATCAATCACAAGGTCTCATTCATAAGTACAAATCATCCCAAAGAAAAGACACTGAGGGTGAATTCCCCTAGGCTTGTTAAAGCAAGGCAAACTAACCAAATCTGAATCCGAATCTTCTCTATGAGTATATTTTGATACTCATAGATACATATATAGATATGTAGATATTTATACATATATAGATACTTGATACATATTTTGCTGCGTTTGCCCAGTTCAAGCACATCAGGGGCTGCTTTGACAAGAAAGTAACAGTCACAAAATAAAAACTGAATGTCTTAGAATTCCCTTGATCACTCCTTCCTTTTACCCCTTTCAGTTTCCCGAAAACCGTCTCCTGTGCTTACACCTGCACATCTACACATACACGTGTATTTATTTCTAATCCCAGGCACTACTCTAGGTACAGCAGGAGGAAAAAGAATATAGGGAGTGTGCAGAGCAGGGGTGTGCCAGAAGGAGCTGTTACTTTACACTGGGTGTCAAGGGAGTTCTCACTAAGCAGAGACTAAAGGATTCACAGAAGCCACGCAGACACCTGGAAGAGTGTATTTCAGGCAGAGTGAGCATCAGAGGCCAAACCCTGAATCAAAGGAATTGGGTATTCTTAGAGGATAAGGAAAGGGCCCTGTATGGAATAGGGCAGGACACAGCCACGCCAGCACACGAAAGACATTTGACTCTTCAACTGAATCAAGATCTGGACCTAGTGAGAAGTTGACTGTTCATACTGTCACTTTACCCAAGCTTGTAGGAAGCCTCATGTGTAAGGTCTCAGGGGCTGTGCCCGCTCTTAGGCTCTTCTCTATATATTGGCCTAGTTTCAACCACATCTTTCAAAATCTTTGCAAAGTGCCCTCAACTTCTGGAATCACACTTCTCTTCTGAATTCCATTAGCCATACTAAACACTGTGAGCCTCCACTGAAGGGTTCACACAGGCTACCTCATGACGCACAGTAAACCTCCAGGCAGGCATGCAAATGGGTCCATGGGAACCATCTATATTGTGGGCATTCATCTGTCCACACTCCCTGCCTCACTGTCAGTCTGCTATATCATATACATACAGCTGACCTATTTATTCCTCTCTTCTCCACTTCCCTCTCCAGCCCGTACCAGTCTCCCATAACTTTGTCTTTAATTATAGAGGGTATCTCCTCCTCCTCCTCCTCCTCCTCCTCCTCCTCCTCCTCCTCCTCCTCCTCCTCCTCCTCCTCTTCCCCATGTTTTCGTTTCACTTTGTTTTTTGTTTTTCGAGACGGGTTTCTCTGTGTAGTCCTGGCTGTCCTGGAACAGGATGGCTTCAAACTCACAGAGATCCACCTACCTCTGCCTCTGGAATGATGGGATTAAAGGCGTGCTCCACTACTGCCCGGCTTCTCTTCCTTTTTTGTTTAGGGTGGCTAGTGGCTTTTTAGAATTAGGGTCTCTGGTAGCACAGGCTGGCCTTCAACTGGCTATATAGCCAAAGCTATCCTTGAACTCCAGATCCTCACTTCTTCACTTCCCAAATCCAAGGATTATAAGGATGAACCACCACAAATGGCTTTAGAGAAAATTTCTAATTAGTAAGCATCTTTAGGTACCCAGATGCCTGTTATTCTAGGAAGTAAGATTTATACACTAGAGTAACAATCACAGTAACAAGGAATAGGCTTCTACACATCCTCAGTTAACAAACCTGCTTCAAAACCTCAGTTTAAAAGAAAAAGAAAAGGCTGGGTGTGTTAGTGCATGCCTTTTATCCCAGCACTCATGCAAAGGCAGGTGTACCTAGGCAAGTTCCAGGAAAGCCTGGAATAGAGTGACTATCTAAATACAAAAACAAAAACAAAACACCACAACCTCAGCCCTCAAGGTCCTGACAGAAACAATATTCTACCCGACAAACGCTCTTAGACATGAGACACCAATCCAGACCTACTTAGATCATTTTCAAACAGAAGACTGCCAGCCATAATGGCATATAACTGCAATCCTGGCAGAGACAGGGGATCACTGCAAATTTGAGCCCAGCTGATCTACATAACAAGTTCCAGAAAAGTAAAAGTTATGTGGCAAGACCCTGTGTCACCACTGTCATTATCCTCGTCATCACCAGCAACAGAACAGCAACAGCAAAAGAACAGAGGATACTTTAAAACAGAGCCAAGGTGGAGGAGCAGAGAGGAAAGATGGATAACAAGTATCACAGTTCAGTAGGCTAATTAAAGTTCACAATTCAGCATAGGTTTTATTTAAAAAAAAAAAAAAAAAGTAAGTAAAGGAATTTCAAAGGTTCCCAATACAAAAGAGATAATTTTTAAAGAATGGGAAAAGCTAACTCCCATATTTGATCATCACATATTGTATAATACATCAAATTATCACATTGCCCATAAGTATGTACAATTATTATGTGTGGCTCTTTTTTTTTTTTTTTTTTTTTTGGTTTTTTGAGACAGGGTTTCTCTGTGGCTTTGGAGCCTGTCCTGGAACTAGCTCTGTAGACCAGGCTGGTCTCGAACTCAAAGAGATCCGCCTGCCTCTGCCTCCCGAGTGCTGGGATTAAAGGCGTGCGCCACCATCGCCCAGCTATGTGTGGCTCTTTTAAAATTAAAAATGGTACTCAGACCATCAGATAGATGAATAAAAAGTGACTGAATTCTCAGAGAATACCAAGTTTTTCTTTTATCTATTCTTCCATAGCCCACTAAATTTATGTTAGTGATAACACGATAAACATTATTCTTCTGTCTCTTCTTCCTAAATTCTGGTATTACTCCTGTCTAGTAGAAGGGTTTCTTTCACTTAAAGACAGGATCATGCCGGGCCGTGGTGGCGCACACCTTTAATCCCAGGGATCTCTGTGAGTTTGAGGCCAGCCTGGTCTACAGAGTGAGTTCCAGAACAGCCATGGCTACATAGTGAGACACTGTCTCAAAACAAAATCTTAATACATATATACACATTAAAACACCAGGTCAGCCAGGCATATATCTCACACTCATAACCTCTGCTCTTGGCAGGCTGACACAGGAAGATGGCTTAGAATACACATGAGTTTGAAGCCAGCCTAAGTTATGGAGGAAGTCTCTGTCTTAAAAACCTCCTCAACCCCCTGTGACTCCAGTTTCAGGAGGTCTAACGCTATCTTTTGGCTTTCATGGGCATCCTACATGCATATGGTGCACATAGATACACACAGGCCAGGTAATAATTCCCATATGTTGTGGAATATTAGTGTATAATGTGTTACATTTGTTTATGCTGTAGAACATTTGTTTAATGGTGCAAAGATGTGCTGCATTCTTTTATGTTGCATTTGTTTAACTCTGTGAAGCTGTGCTACTGTGCCTGTCTAAACCACCTGATTGGTCTAATAAAGAGCTAAATGGCCAATAGCAAGGCAGGAGAAAGGATAGGAGGGGCTGACAGGCAAAGAGACTAAATAGAAGGAGAAAAAGAGGGACTGGGAAAGCAAGAAAGACCAAGGAGCAAGAAAATCAGGACACTAGGGGCCAGTCGCCCAGCCAGACAGCCAGTCACAAAGTTAGAGTGAAAGTAAGATACAGAAGTAGAAAAGAAAAAAGGCCAGAGGCAAAAGAAAGATGGGATAATTTAAATAAAAAAAAAAAGCTGGCTAGAAAAAAGCCAAGCTAGCCAGGCGGTGGTGACACACGCCTTTAATCCCAGCACTTGGGAGGCAGAGGCAGGCAGATCTCTGTGAGTTCGAGGCCAGCCTGGTCTACAAGAGCCAGTTCCAGGACAGGAACCAAAAGCTACGGAGAAACCCTGTCTGGGGGGGAGGACGAAAAAAGCCAAGCTAAGGCCAGGCATTTATATGAAAAAATAAGCCTCCGTGTGATTTATTTGGGAGCTGGGTGGCGGACCCCCCAAAGAACAAAGAGTTAAGAAAAAATTACCAACTACACCCATAAAATAAAATAAATCTAAAAATGGCTGTCAATAGGGAGTCTATACAAATCCTTTAGTAACAAATGAAAATCATTGATTTCTGATTGATGCTAATCACATAAAACATTAATTAAAAATTATTGTATGGATATATGTGAGTCTGGATGTACGTATGCGCACTACTTGAGTGCTTGGTTACAAAAGAAGCCAGATGAGGGTGTTGGATGCCCTGGAACTGAAGCTACAGATATGTGAGCTGCAATATGAGCTTTGAGAACTAACTAAACTCGGGTCCTCTACAAGAACAGCAAATGCTTTTAACAACTAAGCCATCTTTCCAGGCCCTTCATAAATTTTTCTATTTGCTTTTTGTTTTGTTTGTTTTTTGGGACTAGGTTTCTCTCTGCAGCCCTGGCTGTCCCAAAACTCACTCTGTAGACCAGGCTGTCCTAGAACTCACAGAGATCCGCCCACCTCTTCCCTCCCAAGTGCTAGGATTAAAGGCATGTGTCACTACCATCCAGCTTTATAATTTCTTTAAACAGTCTCACTGTGCTGCCCTGAAGCTCCTGAAACTTACTTTATAGACCAGCCTGGCTTTGAACTCAGATCACTTGGTCTGCCTTCCAAGTGCTGGGATTAAAGGCAGGTGTCACCATACAATCCCCCCACCTCCCTGCCCAGAATAATTATTTTTAATAATCACTACATCTATATAGTATACAAGTTGTTTCTGTTAATATTTTTTTATTGTGATACAGTTTCAAGTACTCCAGGCTAATCTCAGGATTACTATATAGCTGAGGATGGCCTTGAATTACTGATTCTCTTGCCCCTACGTCCTAAAAGCTGGGAATACAGACATGTGCCACCATTCCAGCTAAATTGTTATATACTGCTTAATTTTTGTCTTCTTAGTTGATCTACCACACATTTTTTTCTTCAAATTTGTTTTAAGACAGGGTATCACTCTGTAGTCCAGCATAGCCTACAATTCACTATGTACCCCATTCTATCCTTAAATTTACAGCAATCCTCCTGCTTCAGCCTCCAGACTCCCAAGTGCTGGGATTAAAG